GCGGTGGGGGAATTCCGGGGAGTGAACTCCAAGCCCTCTAAAAGTGGCCAAGGTTGAGAAACACTGCTCTACAGACATCATATATTCTTAAACCAACACAGTGCTCTTAGAAATTGTAGTACAGCAGTACATGGGCAATTGTTTTGATATTTTCTCAGCCACAAGGGCAAACCTGTTCGGATAAAGTGGGTTTGCCTATCAATTCAGTAGGAGTGTTGATGGTAATGTATTATTGTGTGTCCAAAGAAATCTTTTCTCAGATCAGGGAATGTGAGAGATGTTTAATATTGGCCAGCAACCAAAGTCTCCTTGACATTCAGCTCTGCTGTTCTGGGGCATCTTAATGACCTCTATAACATCTATCTGTTATGAGAATACATGCCTGGTCTTTTCATAATTCAGAGTAAGAAGCCTATAACATGCTTACTCAGATTTTATAGCACCCCTCTAGGTAAGAAAACTAATAATAAGGTTAATAGGCCATTGGGGAATAATTAATCTTCATGCTCCAGGCCTCTAGCTCTATTATATGCATTCCCACCTCAAGTCTCAGTGTGGCAAGGGCTACATCTCCTGGGGCAGCAAGAATGGCTCTTTAGAATTTGGTTTGCAGCACTTTTATGGTATTCTTCATCTGAGTTATGAATAATATCAGAACTGGTGTTGTGGCTTTATGAAGTTTAAGGGTGACAGGAACTAATTCTCTACCCTTGGAGAAAAATAATGGCCCGATAATGGCATTTAATATTTTTCTTGGGATGAGGTTCTACATTATTGTAAACTAAGACCAAATTAATCAATTTTTGTCCTCTGTCCCAAAATTGTATCCTCGTGTGTCATGGTGTACTAGGATTTTTTTCAATTCATCACAGAAGGGAATATGCTGCAAAAAAGCAGCTTTAGAAAGAGCCTATATCTTGAATAACATCACTTCCAGCAGAGATAAAATAGTAAATGGCTGCAACCTTGCTTACAAGTGTGGCAACTGCCCAGAAACAAAGCATAGTAAAACAAAATCAAGTCAATGGAAACCAATATGGAAGGTATGAGGGCAAGTGTGGAGGTGGCTCAGTAATATATTTTGGGGTAAAATAACATTTTGTGATTTTTCCAAGCCCATTAGGGCAGCTAATTTGCATGTAATAATGTAANAAGATTACTGCTACAAGATAGATCCTAATAGCTGCTCTCACCGATTATTGGCCCTGCTGGGTAAACCAGACAGGATAAGTTAATTCTACATTATTGTAAAGCCACATAATACTTCTTGACAGTGAGAATAATTAATCATTGGAACTGGAATATATACCAATGATGGGTGCTCCATCACTGGAGGTTTTGAGTAAAAAATTGGGCACCCATTTGTCCAAGATGGTATAAGGACTCCTGCCTTGGTCAGGGGACTGAACTATAAGACTTCCAAGGTTGCTTCCAGCCCTATGATTATAAGTGACCTGTATGCCTGCCTATGTAGTCTGCTAGCAACACTTAATGGACAATTTCAAAGTCCTGACTCAGCTTTATCAGGGCCCTTACCACAAAATTACAGACTAGTACTCTTTCAAGCAGAAGACAATAAAAATATAGGAATGACAGTCTTTTGAATGACAAGAATACTGGGTATATAGTATTTGCTTGTATTGTTGTTTGTATTTCTTGCACATAAACAGTCCAGATTTGCTTTCCTGGAATTTATTTTGTCATGAACTTTATATTTTCATTAAAGTGAAAACCATATATAATGTATATAAAGTTGAAAATCTTGCAGAGCTCTAAAAATGTAAATAAGCAGCAAACAAATAATATCATAGTTAAACCATCAATAGACTTTTTATATAATAGAAATGATACACACACATATACACACAGAGAGACTACAAAGTCAGATGATGTTTAATGTATGCCATCAATTCCATTACATGTTCAAATATCAATTATTATTTTAAGATGAAAGCATGTAAGGCTAGCTTTCAAGCTAAAAAGGCATTTGGTTTTATATTTTCTGGATATAAATGCTTACTATAGCTAATGTTAATGAGGATTTAAAATGAAGCGATAAAAAAATATGTCCAGATATTTAGAAAGCTTTTCAACAAAAATAGACATTAAGTATTTTAGAAATAAATTGTGGATAATCTCTGGGAACATTGGGGTCATATGTGAAATTTAGGAACATTTTGTTGAATGATGCTGCTTCTTTATCAGACAGATATTCTTTCAGAATCATGACATACTTATATAAAGAAAGGGCCAACTCAAAGCTTACATAAATATATTTGTTCAAACAAAGATTATAACACAGCACATATACATTTAAAGGGAAGCAAGGTTAAGAAGGCAATGTTAGCTACCAAGAAAAGGTTTACACACTGATTTCAGCCGGTAGTAAATGTGACTATTACTCTCAGAAATGACTGGCTTGCTTGTTTGTTTTCAAGAAGGAACAAGACCAAGGAAGGAACAAGAGAGCAGAATAGAGGATGAGAATCTCAGAAAAGGAATGATTAAATTTTGAAGTACATCTTATGATTATGTGGTGTGCTGTCCAAATTAATGGACAATTAAATAAGGAATCCTGGTTTAATTCTAGCTTCTGCCATGAACTCAGTAAGTTAGTGCTCTGTCACTCAGTTTCAGGTCCCTCATCTACAACTCACCTTACATGTCTGGGCAAGGACAATGGAGAGAACATATGTGAAGCATATGTGACACCTACAAAGGTCTAAATTAAAAGTGGGACTAAGTTCAAACAAGAAAAAAAGGGGGGGGGGAAACAAAGCATGGAGCTGTAAGGAAATGTCAAAGAAAATCCACTTCTAAACGTTTTCTAGTCACATTGGAAGTTAATGTAATACATACTTCCATGACCCTGGGAAATTTAGGACAAGAAAAAAATATGTGCTTTATGGAGGCAAGTAAATAGGAAAAAAGAAAATAAAGGCACCAGATAAAAGAAAATTAGAAACTATAAAGGGACTACAGATGAAACATATATAAATTAAGGACATTACAACTTGGAGTTTGTGTACAATAAATACTGAGTTTAGGTTTAAATCATTTCCTGGATAAAGTTCTGTGATTTGTAACTCACTGTTTTGTTCATTTCTACACTACCATAGCTGTGAAGCATGAAAACAGATTGCAAATACCTTAACAGCCTCAAACAATAACAGACTTTCATAAATAGCAAGCAAGATTAAAGCAAAACCCATCCGGCAAGAATGTTCAACCCTTACCTTTGAGTCATAATCTTATAAGCATCTGGCAGATAACAGCGGATATTCTCCATCTGAGCAGGATCTGAGTCACAGATTTTATCATCTGTCCTGCCATAGTTGGCACTTTCAATCATGATAACATCTGTTCCTGGGCAACGGAGCTCTATTGGGTAGCTTTCACAAGAGAGTTCCCTCCGGACCACTGCCATAGGAACAGGAGCACGACTAAAAGCTGTGGAAAGAAGAGAGATGCTTAGTAGAAACCAAAGCATCTAAAACAAAAATATCCCCCACAGTCTACAGAAATGTCAAATCAAATGATTCGCAAAGCAGTATGGGTCATTCTATGCAGCCTTTCAGACATCTCTTTGAACACATGAAGAGTGTTTTCCACTCACCCACGAGTAACTGGAGAAACCTATTTATGCAACAGGCAAGAATTTAGAAGCAAGTTGCTTCATGATAGGATTGTGCAGTGCTTCAGAGCACATAGGAGTGCAAACAGAGCAAATGACAGTATTCTAGTAACCTCATGCACTCAAACCATTTTTTCAGAACTGCATCTGAAGCACTGCACAATCCTATCATGAAGCAACTTGCTTCTAAATTCTTGCCTGTTGCATAAATAGGTTTCTCCAGTTACTCATGGGTGAGTGGAAAA